GAGAGAGAGAGAGAGAAGAGAAGAGGTGTAAGCTGTGCATGTGTTGCACATTTTACATCAAATTAATTTGTTTCCTAGGAAACTAGAAAAGAATTACAAAATATAAAACGCTTTACCTCACAAAACCAATAAGGGTAGCCCACCAAGTATTGGCTATGCTCCATTCCTCCCCTTCAATAAGCCAAACAACATGAAACACAACTTCTGCTAATATCGCAAAAACTGAAAAGATAACTACAACTAATGCTACCACAGTTTGTCCTTGAGAACAAAATCCTGTCAAACGTACATAAAGTTAGATATCATTGAGAGGACCACAAAGAATTAAGCATTATACCAACTTGACATTGTTTATAATAAGACAACCATGTAAATCCAAACATAATAGGATGCAGAAAAAGCAACATAAAAAGTTTATTGAAGAAGGAACGTCAATTCATTTCCTTTGCATTTCACCGTACGTTTAAAAGTTGGACCAGTAGGTCAAACTTGCCAGCCACCAGTTCCAAGTGAGATTGGCTGGCTGGCCCACTCTGCCAATTCAAAAAAAAAAAAAAGTAAAATTTGAATATTAGTTGTTTCCAAATTTTAAGAAAAAATGGTTTACAATATCCAAACCATTCTAAAAACAATATTCTATGTCATATAATGCTCAAAAAAATTAAGGAGTAGTAGTTTGCATTTCAATTCCATGGGGACTAGGACCGCTTCTGGTTAAAACTCTGAACCGGGAAAATCAGTTCATCCGAGCCAATTTTTAAGCACTGATTTCACCTGTGAACCTCCCAGATTCAACGTTTCAAGAATCGAATGATACAAATAATAATAATAAAGAAAATGATAAATATAACAGGTCTGCAATCCCCTCGACTAAGCTTATCACCGGTTAAACACAGTTTGGGCAAATTTCGACACAAAATATTCTGAACAAGAAATATACCACAATCACAGAGTTATGATTGGTAGACTGGACGTTGCATCAGAAAAAAGAAACTTCGAACGCAATTTATATAGTTACTCTATAAGTCACACTATTATGTAGAATTGAGTTGTTAATTTCAAGCACTAAAGGACATTAACTGTTTGAATATGTATAATGATAAGATAATATTGACACTGTTTTATTTAAGTTGGAAATATTATTAGGTTCTTTTCTATTTATTTGCGACACCTTGTGGTACTTACACTAGAGTGTAGTCCCAAATTGTCAAGGAGTGTAATCAGGCAGAGTGACTTAAAAGACAGTCAAATAAATAATTGGGGTATTAGGGCCCAGGCCCCATCATAACACATGCAACTTGTTCCCCTTTTGTAATCAATAGCATCTAATTAACATAATGCTGAAAAATAACAACAAAAAGCTTATGGTATAGAACAAAAATATTATCTCACCCCTTTTTGGAGCAGTGCATTGTAGGATAAGAAATGCCAATAAGTCGACCAGGGAGATCAAATTCCAATCGAGCAAGGAAGCTGCACAAATCAAGAATTATTAGCATGAAAATAATTATAACCATGGCCACGTGAAGGAACTTCAATTTATATTAAAAAGGGTAAATACTAATGTCCGAATCATATTACCAAGATAATACAAAGTTCGTAATTGGGTCCCATGAGTATTGTATACAGTGGCAGAAAAAGCATCACTCTTAATTTATATAATGGTTTAAGAAGGATTACAATAATAAATGCGTTCATATACATGGAACCTTATATAATATATTTTGTAGAATAGAAAGAGAATACAAACTGATGTCAATTGCACTTAATTCACAGAGAGAAAGAGAGAGAGAGAGATGGAGAGAGAAAAGGAGATGGCAAATGCATGTTTACATAACCATTCAAAATCAATATATTAGAAAATTTCTTCTTTGCATATATCGAACGTAAAATGAAGAATTTCTTCATCCTCTTTACAAAACCAACTGTAGTTTTTGTAAAATACTATAATAGCTTCCTCAGGTGAACCCCAATACTAATGCTCGAATCATGCTGCCAAGATAATACAAAGTTCGTCGAAGAATCTTGTTGGGGTCCCGTGATCATTGTATATAATGGCAGAAAAGTATCTATATGTATGTATATAATAATTTAAGAATCTTGTTGGAACAAAAGATTCGTTTTTTTGGGTATCAAACGTAAAATGAAGAATCCCCACATCCTCCTTACAAAAAAAACTGTAGTTTTGTAACCGTTAATCATAATTAATCTCAGCAATTACATCACAATTCCAATGAAAAATTTAAATTTAACTATAAAATAGCTGAATTGACAGACATACAAAAGAAAATAAATAAATTCAAACAATTATTCAGTTCAGATAAATGTCAAATTATATGAAACATATTCCCTTCTCCCGTTTCGCTTTCTGTTTCAATATTGAAATAGAATATCTTGATCATTAACCTAAAATCGTGAACATAAATGGATGCTAGTACAAATTAAATCATTCGAAAAAAAAAAATGCAAGTTTACCTGTTAGGAGAAGCAGAGGCAAGACAAACCCAAAAAGGAAATTACCCATCTTGTATTCACAACTAATATTCTCAGAGAAAAACGTGGCATATACTTCTCTTATATATGCTCACACATAAGACACCCATGAAAGTATAGAGAGATAGAAAATTGGGGACTCTTAAAAAAACCAAAAATGAGAACGTAAACTTGAGAAAATCAGCGTGAATCTGGGTCTAACATGAAAGGAGAGGGCCCTTCCGAATGACTGATCTCGAACTTAATTTGGATGAGAGAGAAACAAGGGACAGAACAATGAGATATGTGAGAATTGTAGAGAGAGTTTTGATCTCTAGGTGTTTCAGTAGAGAGCAGAGTGAGAATTGTAGAGAGAGTTTTGATCTCTAGGTGTTTCAGTAGAGATGGAGAGCTATATATAGGATATATGAAATGAAATTGGATGGGATCTGAAATATTGATTGAGAAATCGGTATATAGAGAGAGAGTCTGGTTTTGCAGAGAGAAACTCGTTTAAGAGAGAGAAGGTGGAAATTTTAGCCGCGCGAGGGAGAGAAATCGTCGTCCGACCGAAATTACCAATGCCTTTGCATTCCGTTACAGAGAGAAAGAGACTCGTTTTAGAGAGAGAAAATGTCGTCCGACCGAAAATGCCGATGCTTAGCACTCGGTTTTCTTTACTGTAAATCTCACAAAATTGGGATCTTTTTTACTATTTTTCCTTGAGTTGAGAACTTTGTCCCTAAAAGCGACCAAAGTGCCCCTTTACCTAAAAAAATGACATTATAATACGCTTTGACATGTTTTGAACACTACGTTAAGACTCCGTGATTTCTTATTAAGATCGATGGCAAGACTGAACCAGTTTTAGGAAGATATTGGTACCAGGCCGGTTGCTCCTAAACCACTTTGCATATTTTGTTTTGTTTCTATAATATTTATATATTTTTTAAGTCCTTTTTATATCCCACACTTAAAACCCCAATTTTTATTTTTATTTTATTTTATCTATTTTAAATATTTTGTGGATCACTATAGAAATTGGAATTTGTGGATTTGAAATAGCATCAGTAGGTAATGAGCCAATTTTCTTATTGGGCCAAGAATTGGCTTAATTTTAACAAAATGGTAGGCAATGAGCCAATCAATTTGAATTGGCCCAATTTGAACAAGATTGGGCCAATTATATTGTTGAAAACAATTTACTTGATGTCAATTTGTCCTGCCCAGCTGGAAGGCCAATCTAACACCTTAATCTATTTTTATTTTATTTTTTTAAATAATACGAATCGAACTTCAGCTATAAGGCTCTTAAATGTCAGCTGCTAACCACTCAAGCTCAATATTGATTCCTAGCTTAAGACAGATTCCTAACAATTATGAACATTACATTTTACAAAATAATTTGTTTATAAAATATTCTCGAAACTTGTGTATAATGAATTACCCAAGTGCCCCTACTCGCTTGACCCATTCCCTAATTACTGGTGTCAATTGTGGGAATGGATAGTGGACACACCATGGTGAATCATATACCTCACCTGACCGGTGTGTCATACTTTCCTAGCCCAGAGTAACACCATTGCGATCCTGACACGGCTTTAAGGATTGGAGAATCTCCCTCCAACCACCATTGAATCGAGTCTAATCAACAATTTATAATCTGACTCGGCTGATTCGGCAATGTCGAATAGCAGGAAAAACAAAAAAAACTAGAAATAATAAAATATCAAATTAGGAGGGATTGCCCCGAATATACTAGATCACAATTGCCAAAGATCAATTTAAAACATGATTTTCTTTAAGTCGATCTGACTTTTCTGATAGGTTCGAAAAGGCATGGCACTCAAATAACTTCAAAAACCTGACTTTTCTTGGAAAATCAAATTATTAAGGTGTTGCGTCATTTAATGACAATCCTACATCTATTTTACTTTATTCTTCTATGTCATCTTACAAGAAGATTTATCTATGTGGCAAAAAAAAAAAAAATTTATTGGTTTACTAGTTGATTACTTACATTATGAACAAAAATTATTTGTTTGATTCAAAAGTTAAAAAACGAAGCATATGTTAATATGTAAAAACACAAATTCACTTGTACATGCTAATGAAATCTAAATTAATCACATTTGTTCTCAAAATAATTTGGCTATTTATCTTTTTAAACCTATTTTTCCACACAACAAAAATAAATTAATACTGACTTTTTGGTTTACCAGCGTATTGTCAAATATTTTTTTAGAGTATTAGATTCACATAAGGAATGAATCTGTCTTTAACGTGTAAGATGAGGAGCTATTAAAAGAGAGCACGAAAACTACCATTGACTGTTTGGTGGTGTATTTGAATGGTAGAAAGATGCAGGTGTATAAATTTATAAATTTATTTCCCGCTTCAATCGCTCGAAAGTGACACACAAGCCCGTAAAGTGTGCTCTCGGGAGCAAATTGTACATTTGCTCCCTAAGACAAATAAAACGCAAAAGAGTTTTCTTGATTAAAATTTTTGGATCCATTATATAATCACTAAAAAATAATTTTATATTAAAAAAAAAAAAAAGGATTATGGATCCCTATACACCTAGATATGACCATACAATATTATCATCCAAATTTGGAAAGTTTCACTTTCTTCTCTTTTTTCTTTTTTATTTTTGCTTATGTTTCTCAGGTATCATACCTAAAATTTGGCGCTGTAAAATACTCATAGTTTTGAGTTTCGCTGGAGGGAGCAAATGTACATTTTAATCCACCTAAAGTAAGTAAATATTAAAAACACGTGGCAGATGGGATTGGACGAATGGTGAGAGGTCGAAACCCATCAAAATCAATATGATCGAGTTTTAAAATATTAAAAATATAAACAGTAGCTTAAAAAAGTAATATATTAGAAAAACAAAATCATCAACTTTCTTGATAAACACTGATTTTGACTAATTTTTTACTAAACTTGATTCTTACTTTATATCAAAATAGCCAAGGCATTAGTCAATAGCCCAATAATGTAGCTACTACGTAAATTTTTTGGCCAAAACTCAAGTGGAATCGTGGTTCCTCCTTCCAAATTTAGGAATGTGAACACTTTCGCAATTTCTTCATATTGATATATAATCATGGCTTATAGAATTTTGCGAATTTTTCATGACTTATAGATTTTTGTGAATTTTGGGCTCCAACTAACATTAGGTGACCCTTAGCTCAGCTCTAGATAACACACCATCTCAGTGATGTTTTGACTTTTTGGTCCCTACTGGAGATGATCCAAATCAATTATTTTTTCTTGAATTGCACTAATTTGGGAGCCAAGCAATTATCACTCGGAATCCTGGAGTCCCTCATACTTTTTAGCCTTATTCAGAATCCTTGATGCCTCGGACTTGAAACCATATTGGCGAGTTTGAGATTGAGTCTGTCTTCTTGAACACTGGTTCATTTCGCACCCTGCATTTTATTGCATTTCATGGAAATTTTGGTTACCATCCCCTCTAAGCTGGTCCAGGACATGGCTTGAGTTTTGGCTGGTTTGGATGGATATTTTGTTTTACAAAACTTAAAGGTAAATCATGGGGACTAATTTAATTATTTCTATGATTATGTCAATATCGATAGGAATAGGGGCCCAATTTTCTTATGATGCTGGCCAAATTTATATATAATGGCCCCATATTGCTAGATTGTGTTCACATTATAGTGAAGTTAGGCCAACGTTATTTAAAACTATCACCAATGAGAAAAGTATAATAGTTTTGAAAGGGCATGGTTTGTATAAGGTTAAGGCTCTAAACAATAAAGTAAGACGCACTTTCAAATAGTATTGAAAGATGTTTCAGTACTGGAAATCTTTGTGATGGCTACAAAATAGAATTTCATCTCTAATTACAAAATTTAAAGGTTAAAAAATAGTGTAGATCGAGTAGATTTATGAACGCTTTATAATATTGAAAATTAACGGTTTAGAAAATGCATTGCTTTCAAGTATTTAAATCCATTTTTCTCATGTCCATACAACTTGAGGTCGAGATAATCGATTTGAGGATTTCAGAACATTCAAACAACCTTCTAGTGAACTTTTGAGGTGCACCTTAATTTAATTATTTAGAGCCTCACCCTTGTATACATTTTTCCTATTTGAAAAGGGGTTGGATGCGGCTCTAAAGCTTTGTCAAAAAAACCCAATGGAAAATGCAATTTCAGTTTATGTTTCACATAAAAAATAAAAAAAAATAAAAAAGAAAGAAAGATGTCATGGAGGTTGGATCAACTTGGCAATTGAATGAGATTGTTCGTCCTCTATATCAAATCAAAGGCCATTCCCAATTATTGTTGAGTCATTGCTTGGTCCGTACAATCCCCCATGGAGGTCAGATACCCCGTGGCTAACTGCCTAAGCAAATTATCATCCAGATCGACCATGGAATATATCGTGAGTCGAATATGGTGACAGATTAATTGGTTAAAAAAGATGTCACTTTATCAAATGCTAGGAAAGCCCACCTTCCAATTTTTTTTGTTTTTAATCCTCTTATGATAGGGTTGTAACAAGATATGCATGTGATTTGTTTAATCTTTTTTTTAAAAAAATAAAAATGGGTAGGGGCAGAAATCCCCATTTATTTACCTATATAAAAAAGAAATGCAGTTTCAATTCAAGAAAGCCTTACAATAGCTTAAAACGTATTCTCACCTATGATTATGAAACTTGAAGCTTCAAAATTTGTGTAAATCTATTTAATTTGGAAACACTATAAAATTAAACCATTTATTGGATTTAGAATCCACTTTCTTCAAAATATTTGATTTTCAAAGTTGTAATGATCGATTTGAGAATTTTTGAATTGTAATTACCAACTATCAGATGGGTGTACACTATGAATTCAAATCAAATTTAAAGCCTGATCAAATATAATACCGACTTTAGATTGTATGGAGAATAAAATTAGGCAAATTTTATGATTATTTTGATAATAAAGCCATAGCATTGTCCTTCTCTGGTGGTTGGACACGTGTACTCCTAGCCTCTTGGAGACTGGCATGGGGAAGCTTGTATTTTATGGAATTTAACATAGAGAAAAATGTTTTTAACTCGTGCTGGTTACTTGTCACGACCCCCAACATTGATTTCCTTGTTTCAAAAAATAAAAATAAAACAACAATAGAAAGAATAAGTAAAATTAACTGAATTACTTTCACTTCTATTAAAATTATTATTTACCAAAAAAAGAGAGTAGCTTTTCTTGAAAATTGTCGAGATGAACATTGTTATTTTTGTGAGGAATTTAATTTTGTATTCGAGGCATAAAAATTCTAGAGTTCCTGAAAATGAAAGGGGGTATATCATGAGACTGTTTATCTTTGTTACAAGAAAGTCACAATTACTTTTAGTCATTAGATGTCAAATTGAATGGCTTGAAATATTTTACGACATTTGATAATTTTTTTAAAACTTTGAGTCTAATCAATGACACTTTTACAACTATCCAATTTGAAATCTGATAGACAATGTTAAGTACGACACCCTTGTATAAAAAGTATGGTCTCCTTTATACTTTTCCAAATAAAAAAAATAAGGTGCACAAAAAATGTAACATTGAGAATGATACCTTTTATAAAGACTATTTATAGTAGGTATAAAAAGGTCACACTATCTTCATATCCCATACTTGATAGCTCAAAGTGTATCATAAGTTTTTAAAATTTTAAGTTTGGTGAAAAGCACATCTCAAACTATATGACTTATATCCAGCCATTGCATGTCATTGCGACTTTTTTGTATCAAATTGTTATATGCTTTTTCCTTTTTTACACTAGGCAAATCCGAGTCAAACTAGTTAGAGTTATTCGGGCCGAACTATGTGTCGAGCCTTGAACCCCAAATTCATAATATAATTATTTTATGATTAATTATTATGTTTTATAAATGGTTAATCATGTACTGCATCAATCTTGATTGGCTTATGATCAGTCTGCATATGTTTTTATGGTTGCATAGGTTTTTATGTTTTTTTAACATTTGCTCATGCTCTGTAAATGTTAAAAGCATTTTATAATTATAGTCAACAAATTTTAAACATTTATATGTCATTATTTTGTACATTAGTAAAGATAATTTTTATCATTATGAGATGTACCATCACCTATATGAAACATTGAACGTAACTAGTGTGTTTCATGAAGGTAACGTCACATCACCCTATAAAAATGATGGCTCATCCTTCTTAATGATTGAAAACATACTTATTAAAAAATTGATCTATATACAAACAAAGAATAAATAAGCATTCAAAATTTGTTGAGTAAATTTATAAAATGCCCAAAAATATATTTTTTGAAAATTATCGTAAATATACCTTAATTTAAGCTTAATTGGAAAAAAATTCCAAACTTTCGTTTACCTCGCCTATACCATTTTTCCTCATTTTCCATTTTTTTTACCAAAATGACCTTCATGGTAGTCTTTCTACTGTAATACATATTAAAAATAATTAGATAGAAAAATAATAGATAAACATAAAAACAATTAGAGATGAAAGGGATAAACAAAATGAGAAAAATGTTTACGGCATTTTAAGTGTCGTAAAACATGGGTTAGTGTTTACAGTACTTAAAATGTTGTATAAGGGTTAGTGTAAGTTTACGGTACTTAAAGTACCATATAAATGCCCTCAGTATTAAAATTCCCTAAGTATTTCGGTACTTAAAGTACCGTATAACATGTACTAACTATTACGGTAATACAACTACCGTGAGGGTTATTTTGGTAAAAAAAAAAACTGAAAATGAGAAGAAAGGGTGTAAATGAGATAAACAAAAGTTTTGGGTCTTTTTTCAATTAACCTTAAATTAAGGTATATTTGCAATATTTTCTCAGTATTTTCTATAAGGTTGCAACCTTGACAATCCAATTAAGGTGCACCTCCAAATTTTATCATAACATGTAATTTTGGTAAAAAAATTATTAGGACAATCTCAAAATCTATTTTTCTATCTAATTATAAAATTTTAAACTAAAAAAATAATTAAAATCAAGTAGATCTATAAACATATGAAATTCTTGAAAATGGAAGGTCTACATAATGTATTGCAAGATGCATTATTTGTGAAACTCAAAATCTTTTTTATTTTTAATTTTTTTTTAACATTCATATTCTTGATGTCGAGATGATCAATTAGCGGTTTCCTCAACATTAAAACAACTTTTTCCGATGGATTTTCGAGGTGTATATGTAATTCTACATTTTAAGGTTGCAACCTTATATAAACTTTTTCCAATATATATATATATATATATATAAAGAATAGATTTTATCAACCTACGGGCTAACATCTACAGTATCAGTCAACGGTTTATATTCAATCTGGGGCGATCTAACGGTCACAACCTCATTTCGTATTTAAATTTTTATTTTTTTTATATAAATTCAAATCGCTTTAAATTTTAAGTGTTCATTCATCTCATAAAGGCTCACTTAATAAAAATATTAAACAAATAATTCGTAAAATAAAAATTGACCAAAATATCCTTAAAATGTTCCAAGGGTATTTTAATCAAATTATGTTTTGTGAATTATTTTTTCATATATTTTTATTAGATTATTATTTTTCTGAAGAATAGACGTTCAAAATTTCAAGTGCTTTCGATTTGTATAAAAAAAAAAAAAAATTCAAATACAAAATGAGGTCGTGACTATTGGATTCGACCAAATTCAATTTGGGGTGTTGGCTGACTTTAGCTCTCTACACGTGGGTCACAAAAATCCTTTCTCGTATATATATATATATATATATATATATATATAGAAGTACTACCTACTCTAGTAAGGAAAATAAACAGTAGTATTCGTACCTACCTACTACTACCTACTACTAAACGTA